GGCCGTTTCATAGAGCATGTATCGAAGAAGTTACGACTTGACTGCTGGTAGAACGTCTCGTGAGCCCGCACGGGTCGTTACTATGACCCTGCCTAAATCTGCTGCGAGGCATAATGCGTTCCAGTTTGAAGTGTGGGGCAGTTGTTGTGCTATCAAACGAAGATCTAGTCTAGTTTTGAAGTCGTCTTGGCCTACAGGATAAGACGTCCAGTGCATTCGTATGTAGCGATGCACCGGTGTTCGAATCCCGTAGGCGGGTATAAATTTTTCTAATGAAATACGTACTTAACAAATGTTAACGATCGGCTTTCACGGTGAAGGAATAACATCGTGTAATAAAAATCAAACCCACATATCATTTGCGTAATTACCGGTGGTAGGACCTCTTGTGAGTCCGCACGGGTAGATACCACCACCACCCTGCCTATTTCTGCCGTGAAGCAGTAATGCGTTTCGGTTTGAAGAGTGGGGCAGCCGTTGTACTGTAAAAACTGAGACCCAAGAACTCATATCTTAAGGAGTAGGTGGTGGCATTTACATTGTTGATATTTAAGGCCGCGGTGGCCCCTTAACACCAGGTCAGCCGTGAGACCGTCCATCGGTCTAAGCAAAGAAAACCAAGATACTCCCACTCCTCAGACCAGACATCCTGTCTCGGGCCGTCTACATTAATTATAAACTATAGAACACCACAGTCAAAGCCAGATTAGATCTTAATTGCCTTAAATTAGCCTGATTAATGATCTCATATGGCGACTGCAGGCGAATCTAATTGATTGTTTGACCTTGAACGCGACCCCCATCCCTTTCCGGGGGGTGTCGTGATAGGGACTCACCGGATTATGGACAGCAACGTTTTTTGAGCATGATTACCAGGATACTGCGATCGACCACGGGTAGGATGTCAATATAATATAAGATCACACGAGTTTTCTAATTATGACTTCATCTAACATATAAAATTCTGGTGTCATGGGGTGCGTGATTGAACTCCTCCGAAACGGCTCGACCGATTTTCGTGAATCTTAGCGTGCATATCGGTCAGGGTTGAGAATCGAACAACATCTATTTTTTATCCCCCTAAATGTTAAAAGGGTGGGTCCACTCCTAAATTCTTTTTGTTAATTTTTAGACATTTTGTTTTTATTTTTTTATGATACAGCATATAAAAATACATACAACCCTAAATTTTCACCCCTCTACGATCAACCCTTATTTTTTATTTGTGAATGAAAAACTTTAATTTTTTTTGCGAGAATTTTGTTTTTATTTTGTCATGACTTAGAATAAAAAAAATTATATTACTCTGAAATTTTCACCCCTCTACGATCAACCTCTATTTTTTATTTGTTAATTATAAACTTTAATTTTTTGGCAAGATTTTTATTTTTATTTGTATTTTGTCATGTATTAAAATTAAAAAATCGAATGTTACTCTCAAAATTTCATGCCTCTATGATCAACCCCTATTTTTCCATCCCGATTTTTATTTTTTTTATTCTATGCACAGATCCGCAATAAGGCTGCAAGATGGCAATCAAATATTATAATTGTAGTACGATAAAATCTTATTCAAAGTTTATAATTTCAAGTTCTTTTAATTATGATTTTTTTTAAAATTCAATGTGATCTCCCGCCCTTCTCCTGACCTGACCTCTTGGGAGTCCACACGGGTAGGTACCACCGCCCCGCCTATTTCTGTCGTGAAGTAGTAATGCGTTTCGGTTTGAAGGGTGGGGTAGCCGTTGTAACTATACTTGAGACCTAAGAACTTATATCTCAAGGTGGGTGGCGCATTTACGTTGTAGATGCTTATGGGCTCCAGTAACCACTTAACGCCAGGTGGGCCGTGAGCTGGTCCACCCATCTAATCAATAAAAAAAAATGTTTTCAAGTCGTGACAGCTTATGATGTTGCGGCGACCATTTAATGCAAGATTGACCGCTGGCTCGTTCACTCATTTAGGCAATACATTTTCTATAGCCCTTGTAGGCAGAGAGCATATGGCCCACCTGATGGTAAGTTTTTGTGTTCTTCGCCATGGGGTAATATCAACTTACACAAAAATATTTTGGGGTAATAATTAAAAAAGTTCCCCGACCGTTGACCTAGAGTACGCTAGGTAGCGGCTTGGCTCTGCCCCTGGCATTGCTGAAGTCCATGGGCGACGGTAACCACTCATCATCAGGTGGGCCGTATGATCGTCTGCCTACAAGGGCAATAAAAAAAAACATCGACGTTTATAGGTATGAGGAAAAAAACCTGTTTTCTTGTTTACGTAAATTTGTGAGGTCAAACTCAGTGAGTTTATTTGTAACCTTCTGCTGTTACGTAAACTAGCTTCTATGATCATCATTAGGCTCACCCACACCCATACCCCCCTGAGTTTCTCGCCGGATCCTCTCAGTGAGTCGCGTTTCCGATCCGGTGGTAGATTCTGCGAAGCTCGGCTCTTGCTTGGGTTCGTGTTAGCAACGTCGTCAGGTTTGAGTCCCGTGAGCTCGCCTACATGTTAGGGTGACGGCATTTACGTTGTAGATGTCTATGGGCTCCGGTAAACACTTAACATGAGCGCGAGCTCGTCATCAAAGCAATAATTTTTTTTAAAAAAACCTATATCTATCGCGAAGCAATTCATATATGCATAATATGGAATACTCCAGAATGTAATGTACAAGGTATTAATAATAAAATACTTAATTGGGTTTTCTGTAATATAAATAAGAAAACAACATTTAAAACCCTCTTTTTAAATTAGTATTTTAAACCGTCTTTATTATATTACTAGCCGTACTCGCCCGTTTCGTTGGGAATTTAAAATTAACATTATTATTTAATGTCATTATTATTAGAGAGTCCAACACTCATATAAATATATCCTAAGCCTATCCATTAAGTACATGTATTTTCTACATGGATACCAAGTTTCAAGTCAATCGGATGCATGGTTCAGTAGTTATAACGGAACATCCGTAAAAACCACTGTAGATTTATATTATAAGTGTAGATGAAAAACTGTAGTAATCTCTTCACTGAATGACAGACAAATGAGGGGTTCTGTTTAAGAAAACTCTTCTTTTTTAAACTATAGAGTTTTATAGATTTTAAATGGTAATATTTTTCTTTACATGCCTAAAGGCATTCCGTTTTTAAGGGGGGGTCGTAAATTACTATCAGTTCACATGATGTCCATGGGCTCAGATAACAAATTACATCCGTTACGCCGCGAGTTAGTCGTGACCTTCAGTAATATTTTTTCCTACCTAAGCTGGTAGGTAGCCTTGAGAGGCTATGTCAGCGTAACCGGGCGAGTAGGTGAGCTCACGGGGCTCACACCGGGAGTGTTGCTAACACTGGCCCTAGCAAGAGCAGTGCTTCGCAGAATCTAACACCGGATCGGAAATGCGACCCACTGAAAAGATCCGGCGAGAAACTCAGTGGGCTGTGTCTATGGGTTAATTCACTCGTTGAGCCCTTCGTCGCAAGCGACGGGTTCGACGAGGATGGTGACCGGTGCTTGAGGTACCTAAAAGCACCGTTAATGGATCGGGAGGATCTGTAATGACGTGGTTCAGTAATTGGAGGCTATCAAAAGCTAGCATCATAGAGATACGTTCCTAAAAAGTCCCGTACGCGAAGCCGAGTTATACAGTGTGATTCTTTAGAATGTGCACATATTGAAATGAGGGAATCCATGCTTAATTTTATCGAGGGAAAAATATTTAAAAAAAAAATATTTTTTTATGTAATTTTTTAAATTTTTTGTTCACTACTGTGACTCCGGTGTAAACAAAACGGTGTAACTTTTGAACTTAATGATCTATCGCGGTTAAATAAATTCCATAATGATTGGAAGTATTTAGGAGTCCTCATAAAATGAAAAATAGGGAGAAAACTTCCCTTCAAAAAGAAGTCATTAAACGCTTTATTTGTATGTATGTTTGTAACTGACTCCTTTAGACGCGGTTTTGACCCATTTTAAACGGCCAGATTTCATTCAAACTCTGTAGATTTATAGAGTACCGATGACAATTCAATTTAAAAAAAAATAATGATAAAATTGAAATTCAACTAAAAAATGAAAAAGAAATAATAGTTTAAAAAAACTAAAAAACACACTTTATATAAAATTCAACTAAAAAATAGAAAATAAAATTTAATAACCTTAAATTGAAAATAGTGTAAAAAAAATATGTTATTGTAAAAAAAGCGTGGGGTGCACGGTGTTATTACATAGTTATAAATATTTTTCTGATAGATATGAGTAGAAGAATTATTATTTCAATAATATTTTAAAAAGCACCCCACGTTCTTTTTAGTTTTTTTAAACTATTATTTATTTATTTCCTGCATGAATCGTCTGGACTACACTTATATGTATTTTTTACCTATTAAAAAATTTGCAGTAAAATTTCGGTCATTCCCATATATTGTGGGTTCCCATATATTAGGTGACATTATAATGTAATTTTCTAAATAATTTTCAACAAAAAAAATCTCGTTATCGTGTTGTAGAAGTACCGTGTTATTTCTCTTTTCGTGTTAAAGTGGAGCCGTGTTGTAAATAACTGTGTTAAAGGACGGATAAGCGTATAATGTAGACGCTAGTATCAAATGTAAAGCTATTTTTGAATATGAACATGCTTTTCTTGGAACATACGTGAGCTAATGTTAAGTAGACTATGTAAGTCAAGCATTAATGCAATAGTCTTGAATCTCTGCCCGCGAGCTAACTGTTTGCGATTACAAACAAAATATCCCCACTCATTACAATTGTGAATAACCTTCAAACAACAAAATGCTACCTAAGTATGGTATATTCAAACTAGGAACGATAGAGGAAAACATTACAAAAAAAAAAAAAACATTACGCAAATAAAAAAGAAACCTCAAACAATGACACAATTGATTTTGCATGCAAAACTTTTAGTAACATAAAATCGATTTAGAATTAAAACGGAAGCTCACATAATTATTGTTCGAAATAAAAAAAAACTTACGTTTTATATCAGGAAAAAAAACGATTTAATGATTTTTTTGAAACTCCCGCGCACAATAACGTCACGACAAGCTAGCGATCCGAAGGAGACTGGCGTAGATTATACACAAGTGGTTGAGCCGTTCGTAAATAAAAAAAGTTGTAGTCAATATAAAGGTAAGACCACATTGAATTAACAAAATAAAATTATTATTTGTGGTAGACCATATTGCGTACTGCGTATTGCCGTGAAGTACTCATATCGACGCTTGAAATGCAAACGTGACTAAGCAACAATAACTGCTTTGTACATAAATGAAAGGCAATAAACATATTAGATGGGCAAAAAAAAATATTACTAGGTCTATTAAAATCATTTCAATCCTACAGCTAGATTCATTAAAATATTTTTTTTTCAAGTATTTCAACTTTAAATTAATTAGTCTACTGTAAAGTTCACGTATTGTCGCTTAGTCACGTTTGCCTTTCAAGCGTCGATATGTTGTATTTTGAAGGATGTGACAGTCGTTACCAAGTACAACTAAAATGATACGCTTAAATTAAAACGAAAGACTGCAAGCCCTTTGCCTTGAGAAATAAAAAAAAAAACGTTTTCCTTACGTTATACCTTTTTTTCTAATTTTAATTATCTATGTAACGACTTAGTGCGCACGGCGGGAAGTCGTTGGATGCGGAAGGCGGAGGACCGCATTATGTGGAAGGCATTGGGGAAGGCCTATGTCCAGCAGTGGGCAGATAAAGACTGATGATGATGATGATGATGATGTAAGCAAATAAGGCCGCAGTTAACTTGATGTGATGGTTGTCGTCGCCTTGGGACATCAGGACAGCTGTTTTTTTTTATACTTACTACCACTCACACACTCCAACCACTGTTGATCCTGTGTATTTAAGATCAACGACAATAATCGCTTGAAAAACATAACAATGATGGAATGCTTTGAAAATAAATGATAAGGAGAATCTCCGAAAAAACTAAACCATGACGTTCAAGCAAGTCGAGGGAAGATAATTTGTCTTCTATGACAGCTAAACTCTGTTAAGTAGTTCAAATGTAATCTATTGAAATATATTACTATTATATGTATATTACTGGTGGTGGGACCTCTTGTGAGTCCGCGCGGGTAAGTACCACCGCCCTGCCTATTTCTGCCGTGAATGCGTTTCGGTTTGAAGGGCGGGGCAGCCGTTGTAACTATACTTGAGACCTTTGAACTTATATCTCAAGGTGGGTGGCGCATTCACGTTGTAGATGTCTATGGGCTCCAGTAACCACTTAACACCAGGTGGGCTGTGAGCTCGTCCATCTATCTAAGCAAAAAAAAGTCATCGACATCATCACCGGTCCGTAGTCGTCCGTTATTCAAAGAACCACTCGCCTCTCCCAAGAACCCGTCTGTTCCAGCAACCGTCAGTGAAAATAGCATCAAAGTATTTGCCAGTTCAAAAACAATCACCTAAGAACATACTCATAGAAAACGCATGTAGGCCGGAAAACTTGCATTGTATACAGACCCTAAGCTACTGAGTCCGGTATTACCCTGTCAATTTTAAATTTCGTGCGCCTAAAACCGTTTTGATGCTTACAATTCGAATTCAATTTATACGATTTACACCGCACTGATTTGCATTTGAAGTTGCCAGCCCAACTGTTTGTAGTGTTGTTTTATTTTTTTACAGCTTTTGTGTGTATATATGTATAATATGTATGTATGTGTGTATATATTTCAGTCGATAGGTACACCGTATGTAATTTGTTACCTAAAGATTCTTGTCCTCCTGATGGTTGTCTAGAAGAGATCGCTCTTAGCGAAAAGGCCGCCCCTTGTACTTTTTTTGCATTTAAGTTTTGCGTTTTTTTTTTATTTTTTATTGCTTAGATGGGTGCACGAGCTCACAGCCCGCCTGGTGTTAAGTGATCACTGGAGCCCATAGACATCTACAACGTAAATGCGCCACCCACCTTGAGATATAAGTTCTAAGGTCTCAAGTATAGTTATAACGGCTGCCCCACCCTTCAAACCGAAACGCATTACTGCTTCACGGCAAAAATAGGCGGGGTGTTGGTACCTATCCGCGCGGACTCACAAGTGGTCCTACCACCAGTACTACGCAAATTATAATTTTTGCGGATTTGATTTTTATTACACGATGTTATTCCTTCACCGTGGAAGTCAATCGTGAACATTAGTTGAGTACGTATTTCATTAGAAAAATTGGTACCCGCCTCGGATTCGAACACCGGTGCATCGCTTCAACACGAATGAACCGGACGTCTTATCCTTTAGGCCACGACGACTCATGAATGTTTTTGTTTATATTGGATACAATAAAGCATACTCTCTCTCTCTTTCTTTTTACCTAATTTAATTAGTCTATTATTGTCTAATTAGGGAATAAAAATTGTGTCTTCAAACAGCCATTACTTTTACCTCATTGGACATTACACCTACATTAACACAGATAAAAAAAAATTTTTTTAAATGTACGCACGACATTATGTTTTATTTGTGCCACAAAAATAAAGTCATAATTATTACATGCATTCGTAACTCAAACGTAGAGTAGCCACTGAGATGCAGTCGCAGACAACTAAACTATTACGAACAGTTAAAAAAATCAGTGATAAATCTAGAAGCTATAACAGTATTGTGCAGTATTATTGCAAGGTATTCTTGGCAACACTGATAGTATTTTATTCTCGCCGTGTCCGCTACTCACACCGTAAGGTAACACCGTGACCTAGTTCTCAATAAACATGATTAACAAGTTAAAGTTTCTATAATCGCATCGGGTTGTTAATATATTGTCTTTTTACTTGCATATGCTCACTGTAAGAGCGCCATGTAAAGTCCTATGGAGCTATTAAGAGATTCTACAGTACGATGTGTTTGGGTTGTTTTCAAATTTGGGGCCAAAAGCGAGTTATTTGATTTAATTCTCATAACCTTAATGTTACTGTAATTATAAGTACAGTAAATGTGTTGTCATGACAACAGGCACGTGGTCTTATAACTATATATTCGTAAACTCTGTTAAATTAGGAGCTGTACACATAGATTATACACTTAATATACTTGAGAGCTGTACATTAAAAACTACCCCAAATCTCGTCCGTATCACTGGTTCGAAATTCAAAGTCTAACTTGTTTGTTATTTTGCCAGTAATGCGTGTTGAAATTCGGCAATTTTATTTAATCAGTATAATAAAGGAAATAATACAATAATAAAGGAAAACTAACTGGATATCAGAACATTATTAAAAACAAAAGAAGTACGATTTCTAAGCTTTTAAAAAAAATTCCTATTTAGTTTGTCATCCGTGTTGGCGTTATCAAATGCGTAAAATGAAAAATATAAATGAATAATCTATACTAATATTATAAAGAGGAAAGATTTGTTTGTTTGTTTGTTTCGAATAGGCTCCGAAACTACTGGACCGATTTGAAAAATTCTTTTTCCATTAGAAGCCGACATTGTCCCTGATGAACATAGGCTACTTTTTTTATTTTATTTTTTATTTTTATTTTTTGGTTTCATGTGTGTTTTAATGTTTCCGAAGCGAAGCGAGGGCGGGTCGCTAGTTATTATATAATATTATCAATAAATGTATGATTGACATGATTGTGATGAAGCATTATTTATTCTGAACATACCTAAATACAAGAAAATATGGAAAATTAGAGAAAGTTTATATACATGAAATCGTTACTTTTCTGCTTTATCGCAAAATTGAAAACGATCCGTTTGATGAACGTGCAGGTTGTCTTTGCGAGTTTATTTATTGCCCTTTTTTTATTATCTTTTTTTTTTTTTTATTTATTTATTTAATAAGTTGCACCAACAAAGTGATCATCAATACAAAACATTGACAAATTGACAAAAGTTCATGGCAGATGTCACCTCAATTATAGGTGCAATCGACATTGCATTAACATCAAAAATAAAAATAAAATATACAGCTAAGAATTGGATACATTTCATTCATTGCTTAAGATTAATTTAATTGGGAGATGATCCGCGACAGATTTTTCCTGTAAGTAGTGAGACAATTTGAAAAAACATCTATTTCACTTAAAATAAGTTCAGCGCAATCGGACAACTCCGAAGGAACATTGACGGAGACCGCGCTACCGTGGACATTATTGTAGTCCCAAAGGATTCTGTTTAAGGGAGAGTAAGCACCTAAATTCGAACGAGCGGGCTTTCTTATAAACGGTTTATATTTTTAATTATTATTACCGTCGCCCATGGACTAAAGCAATGCCAGGAGCGGAGCCGAGCCGCTGCCTACCGAAATTAAATGTAATTAAATTAAATAATAAATTTTAATAAATTTTAATTAAAAATAGTGTAAGAAAAAATGATTTTGTTGTAAAAAAGCGTGGGGTCCTTTTCAGGATATTATCAAAATAACCCTTCTACTCATATCTGTTCATAAAATATTTATAACTACTGATACCATTTTTTTTTCGGGTAGAGGGCCGAACCCCCTACGAGGTCCCCGCGCAAAAGGGGCGCGCGCGGTATGTGAGACTCAACGGCGAGAACAACTGCATGGTGTTGTGAGCAGACCGCGGGCCCAAGGATTTTAGGGCCCACCCACTAAACGACTCCCCTGCACTCTTACACCCGACGTCCGATCCCCTCCGAGGTCAGAACCCGAATGAGGTAGGGGAGCTACCGCAGCACACTACAACCAGACGGCGCGGCTCACCCCTAGGACGTCCAGCCGACGGAGCCTTCGAGGCGAATCGAAGGCTCTGAAACGTCGGCCGTCTCGGTACGGTAGCCCGTCGGGCCGCCCAGACGGTGCCGCTGGTGTCCCGGAATACTCCGCTGGACGAGAACCAGCCTGCCGGGTCAACTACTGATACCATGCACCCCACGCTTTTTTTACTATAAAATAATTTTTTCTTACACTATTTTTAATTCAAATTTATTAAAATTTATTTTCTATTCTTTAGTTGGGTTTTCTATAAAAGCATATTTTGTTAGTTTTTTAAACTATTATTTATTTTTCATTTTTTAGTTGAATTTCAATTTATTCAATTTTTTTTACAATTTTTTACGGCTGCCCCGCCTTTCAATCCGAAACGCATCACTGCTTC